AGAGTCGCGTGACAGACACAGTGATGATGCATATGTATTTGCAGTACACAAGCCGCGATTAAGAAAGCTGACTCCACTGTGATGATGTGACCCTGTCTCTCTCTCACACACACACACGGCGCGTCAGATTGTCATAGCAGAGTCGGAATTGACCCATTTTTAGCCTTTGTGCACAGCCAGCCTTGTAGGCTACTCTCCTAGGTTCACAAAACTGTCGTCCATAAAATGTGTTGCACAAATTCAAACATCTGGGTTGTGCTGTTCTGTCGTAAATAAATCTTAAACAATGATTCCTCATTGCATCTACTTTCGGAAGGCCAAATAAAGTGCTTTTGCTTTCGCACTGAAACACACAGCGTCTCCCTGACATGGCTGCATCAACGCTACTGCGGTTCCTGAAACTTTCTTTCTTTGCGTGCACATTTGGGTGGCATTACGCAAATATTTCCACATCGTGACGTAGACATGTGGGGGCGTGTTTGAACGAGGCGTTTTAGCCCGGTCTGGATCAGCCTTCTCTTTTAGATAGAATAAAACCTTTTGTGGGAGCCTTTGAGCTTTGTAACTCTGCAGAGCGTATACATGCACAAATAGCTACATAACACACTAAAGACAAGGAAAAATAGAAATCGCATCACATGACCACTTTAATTGCTTCTGTACCTCAATTAGTTGAGTAGTGGCTTTGGATAAAAGTATCTGCAAAATGCATGAATGTGAAAATGAAAGTCATGTGCAAAAGTTAAGTTTAGATTAAACAAGAGGTTTGACAACACATTGTCAACTCGACATACCACTTGAGAGGCGTCCCCTCATATTCAAACCACATCTCCTCCACGTCGTCTGCCTTCATGACTCTGAGAAAATGTTTCTTGACTTTATCAGTGACTAGCGTCAGGTAACTGACCCGTGGGAGGAGCAGCTGACAGATTGAAAGAGAAAAACAGCACAGGTCAGATGACATGAAACTAACCATTCTACAGCAGAAAGAAAGTCTGTCATCTTAACTGACATAGTAGGGCTCTGCCTCTCTCTCTGTGGTTTCCTCTGGAGACAGTGTGAAACAGGCCGGTATCCTTCCGAACCAAACATCTCGGAGCACATCCTTGTCATCCGCCATTATCATCTTTCTCCAGGTGACACATATAATGACTTCAGTTGCTGAGCTGTTTAGAACACAGAACTTCAATATTTCATGACAGCAAGATATCAAGCAGGTCCTGACTGTAGGTGTTTATATATGATAAGATACTTTGTTATCGGTCTTAACATGCAGAAACAACTAAAAGTAAGCCACATGTATTTAAGAATCCCGACACAGCAACATTAGCTCAACTAGTGACATGAGTCTGGGCTGGGACTATTTGTTTGTTAACCTAAGAAGCCCAATCAGCATCTGAGAAAGGTTATTCATATGGCCACGAGTATGTGTGCTTGATAATTAAGCACTTTAATTTTTACTAACTTTACTACTTTTTTTTTTTTTACTACTGATGTAACATTTGAGGAGAAAAAAAAATGTATTAAATGAAATTGTATGGTTGTCAGAGTTGTTCATTTGAGATATTTAGTCAAATGTTTTAACATTTTTACTGAATCTGACACTACTCGTTTTCTATTCTGTTTTGTAGACACTGATAGAATACTTATTGTATTCTATTGACAACCCAAGTTTTTAAATATGCTAGATATGTTTTCTCAGGTTGGAAGAAACATAATAAACACCTTTCTGAGACATAAACGCAAATACGTATATAGGTCTCTTTTCATATCTCATCAAGCTCTCTAAAGAATACAGAAAACACCTACTAATCTAAACGGCTGCAGAAATTGTCATTAATAGAGGGAATTAAATGTAAACATCAGATTTAATAAGTAAAATATTAGCTCTGCTAACATTGGGCTAATGTTAGCATTTAACCCCATTTATGACTTATAGAAGAACCATGATATGCTTTAAAACGACCTGCTATAATCAGATATTAGTGATATTTACTCGCCTTTCTGAGACTGTAAGTATGGTCATGTGTAAATAAAGCTAGCGCCGACAGAACAACATTACACACGGCGAGACACCTTTGGAGCTACTAACGATACCAAAGATGCCTTGACTTCAGAAACTACTGCATCCAAACATTAATAACAGACAGAAAACAGAATAATAAATTACATTCATTAGATGTCGACAGAAAGCACTGAAGTTCAGCTCATCTTCAACACCAAGCGATGTCACGCATCCCTAAAATGGCACAGCCCTTCAAATTAAAAGTCTCTACGTCTTCCTTTATTGTCAAAATAAACCTCACAGAGCGTTGAGTGTTTTTCACAATAAAAGTCTCAGTCAGCGCGTTCATCACACGGCCGTGCATCTCCACAGTTCTGCATACAGTCATTATTTTATTGATTTATTTTTAATGGCGCTGTTGAATGATTGATTCAGTACCGATCTGGACGGGACTAACATCTTACAGAAGTTCATGTGCTTGAATATTTTAATGATTTTTTTTTTTTACATATAATTTTAATTTATTAAAAAAAACATTATTTAAATAGACGTCAGATGTTATTGAAAATCGCATCATGTGAAGGGTTGATAAGTAAATAGTAGCTCAGGGTAGTCAAAAACACATGAGGCTTTATAATACAATAACAGAAATATATAACGCAATCATTTGATAAAATTACAGTTTCATTCAGCTTATTAGTCTAAAGTTTTAGAAATATTGAATGGATTTCAGTTACTGTACGCAATGTGCATTCTGTCAAACTCAACCTGCTTTTTTAAGTTAACGTTTTTCATCTAATATTTATATTTTCTTTTCTTTCAGCTTCGTTTCAATTACTTAAAACGGTTTTCATATTATTCAAATGATTTTGACTGCTTGTGTTGTCCTCATTTGGATAAAAGCGTCTGCTAAATGACTAAATGTAAATAGTTATGAAACGACCTAAAATTCAAATGTTAGATTTCAATAACGGGGGACAGAGCCCAATGAGTTTTATTCTCTGTTCTATCTATTATAGCTCAGTGGTTTTACTCCATCATATAGGATTTTTTTTTTTAACTTTTAATTCACTACAGCTCAAAGCATAAGATCCGACATTTCTAAATTATAATACTCGTTTCTAATGTGCAGAACTGAATAAAACACAGTCTATTAATGTTTGTGCAACACTCAACATTATGTTGGAGGACGTAACATAGAACTGTATTAATAAAGAAATAAACGCATAATAGTGTTCAAATCAAAATTATTTTCATTTTCATACATTTGAGTCATAAATGTTATACACATTAATAGTATAGTGAAGAGAACCCTTCAGTCCGGAAGATGGCGCTAAATGAATGGAAGCAACGCTGCGCATGCGCTGTAATTTCAATCGACACTGCGCATGCGCGTTTTACATGGAGGCATTCGAATGAGTTGTATCAATTGCTGATGGTATTTTAGGCAAAAACATAAGCAGTTTCGATTTTGTTTTCTAAATACAGGTCAAATATATGTTATTGTACGTTTATTATTCAGAGTATTATATTGGGTGGCGGTGTTTTGTTGTTAATATCTTACTATCTCTGCAGGTCTTTTGTTGTGCATGTTGAACTACGGTTCATTTGAAGCTCTGGTTTTCTACTGTCTGGTAGTCGACTGTTAAATGTGTTAAGAGAGTTCAGAGTTACCGAGTAATGGAGGCTCCGCCGGTTACTGTGATGCCCGTAACGGGTGGAACCATAAACATGATGGAGTATCTTCTGCAAGGTAAACTTCTATTAGTTTATAAATATAACCTCATTAGCAGTGTCGGGGTAACGCATTACAAGTAACGCGAGTTACGTAATCAGATTACTTTTTCAAGTAACTAGTAAAGTAACGCATTACTTTTTAATTTACGCAAGTTACTTTTTTTTGTTTGTCAATTTATTGATTGACAGCTCTGGTGTTGCCATGGTGACGGAAATCAGAAGATGTTAGAAGACGTATTAATTCATCTCACTCACACAAAAAAACCCACAGATTCAGTATTCCTCAAAATGAATAAAAAATAATGCAACTCAGAATATGACGCAAACCTGCAATAATTCAATGTTAAACAACACAAATATGCTTTATGTATTTAATCCCATTCTGTTTGCTTCTGACCTTCGATGATCCAGTTCAACTGTACACTCTAAAAAATGCTGGGTTGTTTCAACCCAATGTTGGGTTAAAAAGCTCATTTAAAAATGTAACCAAAATTTAACCCAACAGTTGGGTTAGTCCATATTTGACCCAACATTGGGTTGAAACAACCCAGCATTTTTTAGAGTGTACTAATAAGCCAAAATTACTCTAGACAAACATCTGTGTCTTTTTTTATCGCTGAAGTGTGTTGAAATTGCTTCTACTTTACTTTCCCTTCAGCCTGAGGCTTATTCATTTAACTTTTGGTGTGAAAAGGCTTTTATATTTGCCAAAAATAGAACTTTTTTATTTTAAAAACAAATGAGCAAGCCCTGTCCAGATTTAAAAAGTAGCGCAAAAGTAACGTAACGCATTACTTTCCACAAAAAGTAACGTAATTAGTTACTTTTTGATGGAGTAACGCAATATTGTAATGCATTACTTTTAAAAGTAACTTTCCCCAACACTGCTCATTACTATTATTATATCCCTCAGTCTTCTAGATTATACTGTTCTGGACAATATTTGAAATTTGCATTTCTCGTGTTATTGCTCTTTTTTGATAAATCGCTCTTTGTATTTCTCTATTGTATATCTTTTGGATTAAAGAGTTTGCTAAATGAAGAAATGTCAATGTCATTAAAGTAATTATATGGACTTTTTTTTTAAACTTATACAATTCTCCTTTAATTTAAACTCTTTATATTGAGATTATATCAAATAAATACTTTGAGTTGATTTGAACAGAAACATGTATGGAAGCCCGTTTCCGCCATAGAAATAAATAAATAAATAAAAATGAACAAGTAACTAAATAAAGCCAATTTTGACTTTTCATCTCACCATTCTGACTTTTTTTTTCTCACCAATTTGATTCTGTAATACATTCAATATAATAAATGCTCTTAATTCTGAGAAAAAAAAGTCGCAATTGGCTTTATTTATTTATTGCGGAAAAAATTACAATTACCTTTTTTTTTTTTATTCTGTTGCCGAAGGGAAAAAAAAAACAATTGTGAGATATAAACTCAGAATTGTGAGATGTAAACTTGGAATTGTGAGAAAAAAGTCAGAATTGTGAGTTTATATTTTTCTCAGATTTGCAAGAAATTGTAACACAGTTGTAACATAAATTGCAGTTACCTATTTAGTTATTTTATTTAAATTTAAGTTAGTTATGTCTTCTGACTTTACTGTTTTATTCGGCACAGGCAGTGTACTGGATCAGTCTCTGGAGAGCCTCCTACATCGACTCAGAGGTCTGTGTGATAACATGGAGCCTGAGAGCTTTGCTGATCATGAGCTGGTGTATCTGCTGAAGGGTCAGCAGGGCAACCCGTTCATGCTGCGTGCGCGCCGCTCGCTTCTTCACCCTACTGCCCCTTGGCATCTGCGCTATCTAGGTCAGCCGGAGGTGGGCGACAAAAGCCGTCATGCCCTGGTGCGAAACTGTGTGGATGTGGCTGCCTCTCACAGCTTACCGGACTTTCTCAATGAGATGGGTTTCCGCATGGACCATGAGTTCGTGGCCAAGGGTCAGGTGTTCAGGAAGGGTGCAATGAAGGTGGTAGTGAGCAAACTGTTACGTGTCCTTGCGTCAGGAAACACGGAGAACACAGAGCCGATGTCTCTGTCGTATCTTGTTGAGCTGAGCGTACTGGCTCCCGCGGGACAGGACACTGTGTCTGAGGACATGAGAAGCTTCGCAGAACAGCTGAAACCTCTGGTGCACCTGGAGAAAATTGACCCTAAAAGACTCATGTAGTGTGACTTGATTTCATTGGAGACTTTTGCTTGTATTATTATGATAATGGCTATTGTATGCTAATTGATTGATAAACATTCAAAAACATTTATTTTTAGTAACTAAATAAAAGATTTGATCTGTTAACTGGTTGCTAATGTCAGATTTATTGCATGACTCGGGCAAATAAAAGCATTTGCTGTCAAACATTGTTTACTTAATCAACTGAGTGTAATGGTGAAGGGATTAGATAGATTTTTATAAAGCTCATCGGTCTGAAAAGCGAGGTGTGCCCTGATTGGCCAGCTATCCAGTGTGTTGTGATTGGCCGAATATCTCAAGCGTGTGACGGAAATGTTACGTCCCTTACCATACTGTGATGCCCTGTCCGGCCGGAGCGACGAGACAAAAACATTAAAACCCATTATAAACGAGGCATTTGTTGCAGGGACATACTTACTGATTATAATGACTTATACTGTCTTTTTACGCGTTGCGTTGCGTTGCATTGCGCCGCGTAAACATAAAACCATGTCTGCAATTGTGATCGGAGAAATGACAAACAACAAGCGCTACTCTACACTGATCAAAACTCGTGTTTGAATCATCGGGGGCAAATCCTTTAAATATGAAAGCGTACTTACAGGCTGTGAGTCAGAAGCGCCAGACTGTCCTTGCAAAGTTGGAATTGCCCCACTTTATAGAAACATACACCGGCATTGTAGGCTACTCTCCCAGGAAACAGTCCTCCATAAAATGCGCTGCACACATCTGGATATTTGGTTTGAACTGTTCTGGAACAGTGTTGTAAATACTACTTAACTACTGATTTCTAGTTGTGTCCTCTTTTGGAAGGCCAAACAAAGTCGTTTCGCTTTCATAACAAAACACTCAACGTTACGCCTTCTTTCTTTGCGTGAACATTTGGGCGGCGTTATGCAAATCTTCCCACACAATGATGTAGACATGTGGGGGCGTGTTAGAACGAGCCGTTTTAGGTAGGCGTGGTTGACTCTGAACTTTTATAAAGAATATCTCTTTGGATTTGAGACTTTAGTCTTTGCAACATTACAGATATTATTTGTGCACCAAGAGCTTGTAGCACTCCAAAGATCATATGCATCATATGATCCCTTTAAAATACATTTTGATGTATCTTTGCCCAAGCCTGGTACTACAGTATTACTATTACTATAGTATACTATGACATGACTTTATGCTTGTGCCATGGTGCAACCGTGGTATTCTTTGAAATAATCTGGAATGCTATGTAAATACTATGGAGCGTGAATAAGGTAATCATTCAGAATCATGGATCGCACATGGATCATGCATATGAAAGTCAG